TTATTGCTTTTCAGTAGCCGAAGAGAGAGCATCTGCTCTCAGTTGCTTAATTGTTGTTGTTGCGAGTTGTTTAGTTCCGCATGAAATGAGATATTTGAGTTAGCTTTCTCTTTAGATGCGCTTTGCATTGCGTTGTGTTTAACGTTCTTAGTAATTTGAAGTGTAACTACTGATTATACCGTGTGATACTGTGAACACTTGTTTGAATATTTCTGTAGAAAATTCCCGAGTTCTGAAATCTTCTTTTGATAAAAAGTAAGTTTTATTAAGCTATTATGGGACTTGCGCATTCAATCTGTTACGAACCCGTAAGCACGTAACAATATTGTTACTTACGCTACATCCAATGGCAATTTTTCTAAAAGATTAACTGCTGTACAATTTGGAATTTTGAAACTCTTGTTCCGAAAATACAAAAATGATCGTATAAATGAAACATGTGTATTATCTACACCTCACAAAATTTCTTTGAATTTAATTTACTGTCATAGTTTATTTTACGTCAAAAACTATCTTTCCCACTATGCGCATTTAGATTCAGTTTTACATGTGCACGTAAGCATGGTATTAAATTTATGGGCACACATAAATCTGGATCTAACTGCTGTTTAGGTATTTTTGCACTGAACTTCGCAATTATATAAGCTTTAGAAACAATTTTTCTCGGGGAGGGAAGAAGTACTTGTTTATTAGTCCAGAACAAGTCTCGAAACGCGATTGTGCGTTGAATCACTTTAATGCCAAAAACGATGACCATTTTATTATGGAGGCACCTAATAGGCGGCCACCGTTACCTCCTATGAAGGTATAAGTATTTCTCCCACTTCCCTAGCGTGCCTTCGTGGTGTAACGGTAGCACGCTGGGCCGGTATTCCAGAGGTCCGTGGTTCGATTCTCAGCGAAGGCGGTTGCATAATTTTTCATCTTGCTTGCTTCCAAAAAAAATCCTAATGACTCTACAGACAGTTTTACATCCATGCCTTCTCCGGGATTCGAACACGGGCCTTTTGGTATCGCAGTCAGGCTTCCCTAACCACTATTCCATCTAGACGGCTTAAATATTGTTCATTGCAAATGCTTTGTTCTACTTTTCATTCGATTCTGTTGCCATTCTGTGAAATGTGAGATAGTTAGCTTTCAAACAGAATGTATCTGTTATTGATTAACAAGCTAAGCTACTTAAAAGCAATAGATGCATTTCTTAAGAATGTTAATTTTATATGCATTTAATTCACTACATATCTCATTAAAACATTCAATATCTTTACAGAATTACGTTATCTATTTTATCTTTTTTAAATATAAAGAAAATGTGTAACATTCGCACTTTAGTCCAAATGTATATTCATTTAAAAACCTATTAAATGTTTTGCTATTCCACCCGGGCCATCTCTACTGATAATCTATATTGGTAAACCGTATTAAACTTCAAAACGATCCTTTTAGACAACCGTTAAAATTAAGCCCTTTAATTTTTTTAATATCTTAACGATTCTAAAATAAAAATTACTCTTGTTCTAAATAGAACGTACTGCTTAGATACTCCAGAATCCATGATGCTATAAGATGTTATTTAAGTATTATGTATTGATATTCAGAAATGAAATGCAATTTTCGACTAAATTCTTTTATTTTAGTCAATGCAAATTCAATACACTTCAGTACACAACCATGCGGTTTACATATACAAAAAGCTGATATACATGTAATAGTTGTGCGATTAAGCAGCTGTCGAAATATAATTTCTTCGCAGATCACAGTGCGATGATTCTCTTTAAAAACAAAAGAAAAGGTAAAACGCTGAAATATTTCTAGGTCTTTAATTTAAATTGATAAGTTTTCAAACTTTTACTTGTAAGACTGCTTGAAACTTTTACAAATTCACTCAATAATTTATTTTAAAAACTGTATGCATTAGTAATACATTTTTAACATTTTATGTGAATTAAATTTAATAAAATTTACAATTCAATCTACATCGGAGTTGAAGCTACTGAATTTTCGTGCTCTTTGTGAAAGGAATGTGGTAAATAAATGCTTCCATTGAAATCACTTTTTAAAACGCATTTATGAAAACCGTCCATATGGTTTGAATTTTTCACATAATGTTATCTCATTGGTTTCATATACAGATTTCTTGTTCTCAGTTATCCCTCTTTCCATTTTCCTTTCCATTCCCTTTCTATTTTGCCGTCATTAATTCATCAGCTACGCTCAGCTTAATAGTGAAGTAATAGTATCTCTATTAACAATAGCATTAGCTGGGCTATTCGTAGAAGATTTATATTATTTTTAAAAAGCGAAATCTAACGAACTCATAAAGCAAGTAATACGTCACATTGTGGCAGGTTTTATTTAACTGGCTCGGTTTGTACATTTGGGCTCCTCGCTTTATGCTTCGTAACAATGATTCCCAAGCTTTCTAGGATGCTTGGGATCTACAATGATTCCTAAGCATAACTTTTTACAGCAAAAATCATCATACATTCAAGCTATTTTTTCTCTGAAATAGGATGCATCATTAAATTACACTGCTAAATGACAAGATGATTTACTTAAAAATCCCAATATGCATACAAGAGAAGATAACAAAAAAAGATTCAGAATTTTTTGAATAATTGTAAGAAATTAGGCATTTTCTGTTGGCATCTTGTATTTACTATATTCCTTAAAATTTCAAGATTTCATGCGTAAATTAAAGAAAGATTTAATTATGTTTCAATATACTAGCAATTTTAGTTCAATCTGTTTATTGCATCAGTTCAAAACATCTCAGTGACAATATTATAATTTGATAAAGTTTGAAATATTAGATGCTTTTCACATTTATAGATGAGCTATTTATACCTATTTCAGTTTAATGTAATGCTTGTCAAACAATTTTGAATAAAACAATCGGATAACCGAAAGCAGTAGAAAGTAGGGAATTGGAGCTCAACTATCATATTCGTTGAAGTTTTTACTTTATAGAAATAATTAAGCTATTTGCTACATTTGGTTTTGGGATTACTTTTAAAATAATTATATAGTTATAAAGATTTTTAAATGGAGATTAAACTAGTCATAAATCTATTATTGAGGGAATCATGCTTTATTTCTGAATTTAAAATTATTCAATTAATTTTATTTAAGCTATATTTGCTAACTTATCACTCAGTCGCTATATCTGGTCTTCTGAGAATCACTGCTTTAGAGGATATAAGCGAGTCTGACATTACACAGTCTTTTAATAGTAAATAAGCTAATCCCACGAACATGAAAGAATTAAAGACGTTACAGAAAACACAAAAGTTACACCTACATTTTCATGAAAGAAATTTAACAAACACTTAACAGACATATTAAGCTCTTTCGGTGGAAACGTTTGCGTGCTATTGTGAAGCACTTTAAATACATATAATTTGCCTAATAAAAAATTTTAAAAATTGCAAAACCTTTTAATAACATTATTTTATGGATTTTACTTAAATTTTAATTTATTTCTCAAAAATACACATTAGAATTAAAAATATTCTAAATAATTCATCTAGTTACAACTACATGAAGAATACTCTAAAAATCACTGTAGCACTATAGCTATTATGCATTACATCCATGTGCTATAAAACACTATAGCTATTATGCATTATATCCATGTGCTATAAAACACTATAGCTATTATGCATTACATCCATGTTCTATAAAACACTATAGCTATCATGCATTACATCCATGTGCTATAAAACACTATAGCTATCACGTATTACATCCAAGTGCTATAAAACACTATAAATATTATGCATTACATCCATGTTCATGTTATGCAAATGATTTAACATGCTGTCTAAGTTACATTACATTTAAAATCATTTTCCTAGGTATAGAATAATATTAGTATATAAATCAATGCATGAGCTTATTTCTGCTAACATTTTCATTTGGAAAGATGCGTCGTTTAGTGAGTAGATATGAAACATAAATGTAAAAAATAAGCATATTTCTTTTTGAAAATATCTTTAATTGATTTCCAGCTATCTTTTATTCAAATTGAATCACGATTTTTTACTGGTTACTCTGACTTTAAAATCTAACTGGTGTAACTTTAGGCTTGCATCTTTTGATTACAAATTACTACACTGTCACTTTTAATTTAACATTTTAGAAATACATTAAGTTTATAAACTTTGAACCTGAAAATATTTTTTTAGGTCATTAGGTAAAGCTTTTAGATTTGGAAGTCTACAATTTGTAGTTGAGATTTTCTCGTTCCCAGCGAACATAGAATAATACTAATTCTGATATTGCAAAATTTTCTTCCGCCATATAAGTAAAGAATACTTTTTCCTGTTTTTGCTACATTTCCAGTTATGTTTCTATTATACTTTAATAATGAACTTCATTACATTTTGAAATATTGAGATTTAATTTGATCAGATGTTCGATTAAATGCTAAATGGATAAGAATATTACACATAACATGCTGAAAATATATGTTGAAAATTTATCAGCAGTTTTGTCTTTGTACTAATCCATTAAAAACTTATGATTTTAATAGCTAATGTGGAACATTAATTAATCCATAAAATGAGACAAATATCTCACTTCTTCATTTTTAATGACATAAATCGCAGAAAAATTTGCTCTATAAGTGCGGAAATGTTGCCTTAACTATGTAAACCATTTAATGAACTTCTACAATTTCATTTTTCACTTCAGTTAGGATATTTCTGAATAAATATTTGAGAGCCATTGAGCACGTGATTACATCTTTAGTTCTCGTTTCATTACATAATGAATTTTAAATTAATATATGCTGCAGAACTCTTAAATAAGTTGAAAAAATGTTCAGAGAAATGCACACGAACATAATACGAATGCAGCTATTATATCTATAGTGAGGTGGAAAACATACATTGAAAAGAAATCTACATGTATATTCTCAAAGATACTGACACACACATAAAAAAATCCTTAATTACATTTTTTGTCGTTCATTAGTAGGATATCACTATTATTTAATCTATACGGGCCACATTGCGACAATAGGCTAAAAGGGTTCGTACTGAGCAAGCCTTTTTACAGCATTCATCAACAATTCCTCTCGGTTCTCGGTTGTTAAAAAGTGGCAGATCTGGACTGTCCTGGCTGGCTTCGAGTTGGTTTCTGGACATTAAAGCGAGGGCGAGCCACTGAGGATAGGTATCTACGAAAGAAATGTTGAATGAAAATCCATAATAAACAGCTAATAATTTTCTAATTTGTGTCAAATAACAAAAACAGATGTACTAAAAGAACAATTAATTCCTCTGAACTTTAAATTTTGCAATTTTTTTTTTTTTTTTTTTTAGATTTTGGTTAGATTTCTGATCCACTTATTAATTTTCCATTATATTAGGAGTAAAATTACTTTTTTAAAATTAAGATTGTGAGGTATTTTTCCCTTTCTTACCGTGTGCCTTTGGGATGTGACTGTCAGCCATGTTCAACTAGTAATTGGGAGATCCGTTGTTCGAATCCCTGTGAGCAAAGCGCATATTTTTCGCGATTGCTGCTTCAAAACGCCTAATGACTATACAAGATCTAAATTTTAGATGCCTAAATTGAAAGCCATTTAAAAATATAAGCCTAAGTTAATCAAATTTTATGACATTTACAGATTAAGTATACCGTTTTTGCTGTTTAAAATTTCTTAACCAAAAATTCTTTGAGTAAGCGATGAATAGGACCGAGACAAGAATGAGCCAAATTAGGCGCAGGCCTCATCGCTGGGGAGCAAAATTAACAGCTTCATCAAACTGCACAGTAAAATGTTACCTAAAGAAACTTTACATTCTATGGATTATATTACAAGGATGTAGTGTCGTTAGACTACATCAGTATGTTTTTTTTTTAGTTACAGTGGCAGGCACTAGCTGTTTTAAGAGTTGGCCACTAATTAACGCCGGAAGCGGTGGTCACTTTATTAAGGTGGCACCAAACAGGGGAGCCACCGTGGCATCCTGTGAAGGGACAGACAATTTACATCCGGGATTCGAACCCGGGCCCTTCAGTACCGCCGAGTTACTAACCACTTTCCCGTCTAGGTGATAATTATATCAGTATACGAACGTGAAAAGGCCCTCGTCGGGATTCGAACTTCGGACCTCCCGAATACGCGTCGAGCATGCATCTAGTTACACCACAAAGGCATTCGGAAAGGAGAGCGAAAATACCTTAGGGTTTGCATTTATCTTTCTGTCCCAGACGAAACAATGTAAGTACGGTTCTACTGTAGTATCCAAGTTAAATTGTTAAATTCTTGTTTTAGCATATTTCTTCAAAGATTTCTATCTTTCTAGTGTTCTGAACAGGAAAAATAGCATTACCATGCAAATCAACATTACAAAGGAGCAAGAGCCTTTTTATCCTACCAGAAACTCTTTACATGCAGTTGCTGATTAACTGGGGCGGAGGATTAAACTTCTTTTTTTAAAACAGGTTCCGTTTATTGCAGAGCGACGAAAAATTGCTATTACAGATCACAAGAATAAAGCAATATCTCTACAAAGAATACAAAAAGGAGAAGAAAATGCGTCTAGTATAACTGCATCAGAACTGGCAAATGGGGTTATAAGACAGAAGAATTGTTAAAACCAGAAAAATACACATCTTAACTGTACATAATCTGGAATAAATAGGCATTGCTAAATCATCCGTTAAAGCTAAATTATTAAATCATAAAAGTAATTTAAGTGTACAACTATTTCGTCTCTTTCCTCCACTGACTGCTATCGCAGTACAAGAGTAATTTAAACAAATAGGCTGTTATTTTTGTTTTGCATTGTCTTCTTCTTGCTTTGAATGTTGATTTAATTCACATAACCATATGAACTCGTTCCCAAATTAAACTGCTAAAAAATACAAGTAAATTGCTTATAGTATTTTTCTGTTAATTATAATGTGGGCTGTTTCTCTTTATTGTAGTTTTTTTCTTAACTATTGTCAGATTAATCATGGTTTTGGATTAACGCTGAACACAGTATCCATTATTGTTATTTAAGTTCACTTCTGTCGTTCGAAGCCTTTGAAGCCCAAAAGGGGCTATTAGTCGCGAAATGAGATTTTGAGTTAGTTTACTATAAACGGTATATCACTTTGCGAATTCTTGCCATCAAATATTATCAATCTGTATTATTTTTAAAGAAATAAGTAATGAAGAATCTGCATGTATGTATGTATGCTCCTCGCATAGTGAATAAACGAAGGTACATAGATGCTATCAAATTTTGAATAACGTAATCCTCCACTTGAACGGGTGCAACGGGAAACCCAAATATTGAAATTCATATTTTTTAAAACTTTAATGAATTTTTGACTAACAAACTCAACGATTTGAAAGCGTGCAGTGACAACACTTCAAAATAAAATATTTTATCTCTACGGTGGCAGACTGTTGCCATTCGGAAAAATGTAAGATATTTATCATTCAGTTTTAATCAGCAAACTCTATGAAAGCGAGGTGTTATCGCGGCCGTAAATAAAATACTTTTACCTTCCTCGTGCCAGCGTGTTGCCATCAGTAAAGCCTAAAATACTAGTAAATTTAATTTGGAAGTTTGCTGAGTAATAAATTAAGAAATTTTAAAAGCAATAAACACAGTACTTGATATTTTTTAACTATTCAATTTCTTTTATTTAAATAAACATATATTAAAATAAAGAAATATCTAATTATAAATATTGAATATTTTATGAAATTACCCTAGCTCATTAAAATCATTATATGCTTTTTCTTTTTTCCGATAATTATTTTAGGCGTTTGGCTGCGCGAGCGGCTATTTTTTAAATAAATAATGTCACGGATATAAAAATACGTATGGCAGCCTCTAACAGTCTATTATAAATTCTAAAGATATGCTGTTTTTAAATATTTTATGGCTTAGCAGTTGACTTGAAGTTTATGTGATGCAAGTGCGAAGAACGTGATATTTAATAAATAAAGTTATTAATTAAAAGACAAAAAAATTGTTAGCTATCTTACAAAGAAAACCGAACATCAATATAATAAACTGGGAAAACACTGAAATACATATGAAAATGTATGTCGACATTTAAGACTGAATTGGGAATTCTAAACATATGCTTTAAATTCTGGAGCCATGCCTTCTCTACGCGGAAAGGAAGCCATTAAAAAGAACAATTAAGTTACCAATTCCAACTTGCTCAGTTCCAAAATTTCTCTTCCCACGCGTATTGCCTTCGTTGGGGTCGTAATATTCTCCATCACAGAGTAAGCTAAGGGTCTGCACCAGCATCCGTCCGCACAGCCTTATGTTTTCGCCTCTCTTCATCAGACGTTTCGGTTCTAGAATAGTGGCACCTTCAGCAGGAGAAGGTATAGTGGAAGCAATGGTCATCACGATGAAAATTAGCTGTTAAAGGAAAAGAAGCTATAGAACAGGTGATGTGCTAATCATCAGATTGTTAATAATAGTTTTTACTGTTTCTTTCATGTATTACGTAAGGTTACAGCAGAAAACATCGCGGACGAAAACGTCGCGGAGAAAACAACGCAAGTCGAAAACTTCGTGGTACAAAACATCTTGGGAGAAAAGAAAGCAAAGAGAAAACATCGCAGTTCTAAAAACATCGTGGTACAAAATACCGCCGTCGAAAATAAATCGGTTCAAAAACTTCGAAGTTTAAAAACATCGTTGTCGAAAATATCGTGGTAAAAAATAAAGCACCTACAGATCATCGCATGACGATAACACCACGGACATGTACTTTTCACGTTTTAAAAGTTGTAAAAGGATATTCTCATAAAGATTTGTAAGCAAGAAATGTTAACGACACTTTATAAATAAACGGAAACAAAACAAGATATAGTTTTCATCAAAACAATATCAGATTTACAAACGTGAAAGAAAGTAATTTGATAATTTAACTAAGAAATTTTTATAGAGTTATGCAGCTTTTTATCTTTCTTTTCTAAACATTTTTAGGCTATATTTTTCGTGAAAAATTATAAGTATAAGTAAAACTATATAAAATATATTAATTTATTAATGACCTTAGAAAATTAACTATGTAAATTTAAAATTATATTAAGTTGCGTTAATTTTATACTCATTTTAAATTTTTAATGCTTAAGTTTCCTTCTTACTTTTTCAGAAAAAATTTATTAGTTCATTCAAAAACATGAAATATAAAAGTAAAAATATCCTTCTTCCCTTCTTGCGCTTCAAATCTTTATGCGAATATGCATTTACACCTTTTAAAACGTGAAAACGATGTGTGCGATGTTACGTGGAACGTGTGCGATGTTAATCGTCATGCAATGATTTGTAGTTACTTTATTTTTTACCACGATATTTTTGACAACGATGTTTTTAAATTGCGAAGTTCTTGAACCCCTTTATTTTCGACCACGATGTTTCTTCTGTCTTCCACGATGTTTTGCACCACGATGTTGTCGCCTCGCGTTGTTTTCTCCGGGAAGTTTTCGTCCGCGATATTTTCGGCGGACACCATTACATAACAACACTCACTATAATCAAACTTAAGATGTTTTAGAATGTGAAGATAGATCTCTAAATGCCAAATCAAAAACATATTAGTAATTAAAATGACGTTTAATATATTAAAGTACCAAAGCTTTTAGTCAAGACTTACCGGAAGTACAGTAAATAAAAAAATACCATTTTGTGCCACATTTTCCCATGTTTTTGCCATGATTTATGCACAAATACTACTCAAAATCAGTATTGAAAATATTGCATGATACTGGTAGAGTTCCAAGCTCATACATATATTTAAGAATAAATTAAACCGTAATATTTTTCAGTGTTTTATAAATTTAAAACAATATTAGCAGAACCTGCAACCTTTCCCCTGAAAAAAAAATTGTATTATTGCTAAAAAATAGTAAAAGTAGAGTAAAATGAATTATTTCTGGTTGTACGGTGGGATAACAGATAAAAATCATGTATGAAAGTACATCTCTCTCTGTATATATATATATATAATGCACTGAAATGTACTGAACCCCAAAACTAATATCCTGAAAGCAACAAATAGCTAAATAAAACAATGAACAAAAACAACAATGCGATCAAATAAATTGAAATATTTACAAAACTTTATATTGTTATAAGGTTCTGTAAATATTTCAATTTATTTGATCATTGTTGTTTTTGTTCATTGTTTTATTTAGCTATTTGTTGCTTTCAGGATATTAGTTTTGGGATTCAGTGCATTTGAAACTGAACTTGTAGACACACTTTCTCTCTCTCTCTCTCTTTATATATATATATCTTACGTAGAATCGTAAATCTTTTATTTTGAATCCAACAACGTTTATATTGTCAAAATAGTTCAACTAGAACGCAACATATTGGCAAACATGTTTATGGCGTCCCTGGCTACTATTTTCCTAGACAAGTTGGCGTTTTTTTGAAATTTCTTGCCATCTTGATTTGGGAAAATTTTGGAAAAACGCTAGAAGTTCTAAGAGGAATTTTTCCTGAAATTTTCTGAATACGTACAACGTCATACAGGAGAGTAATGACTTCAAGAAAGGACTATATGAGCGATTATTAATGATTAACCATGCATTATGTATCATCATCACCATTTCTTCAGTATCTATAGTTCTCTGGGATCACTGTTTGAAAATTGCAGCTCAATTAAAGTCTGAAGTCATGAGCTTAGTTACTCTAATCATGTATTTTTCAATACTAATATCCTCCGGCTTTCAGCCACCATGTACTTCTTAAATTAGTTCCTACTCAGTCTGTAGTGGTACAGACCGGAGGATGGAAATTGTTACCTGAACATTGGAGAGCATGGAAATCACTCAAGAACTAATAATGTATTTCTATATATTGTTTGTAAATATTTAAAAATAGTAATGATATATTTTTAAATATTTACTTTTTCTCTTTAATTATCTCAGGTTGAACTGAATTTGGAAAAACTTTGAAATTAATCAATATCCCTGCTTAAAAAAAGGGACAAAACCCGCCATAGCGAGTTCCTTGCTAAGATAACCACTTCTGAAATATGTTCGTTATTTCTTGAACATAAAATAAACATTCGTACTGAACGTAAATTCTTCAAAGTGATTACCTCCATAGCAAACCAAGTTTGTTTAAAGGGGATAATGCAAGGCACATGAAGTCTAAGGAATGTATAACAGAGGAATTTCTAAATGAAACTGGGACATTACACATGCGAAAAACCCACAAAAACTGTCACACATCCAATGTTTTCACACGGGAATTCGAACGCTAGTCAAACTACCAGATTTCACTGTTGCTAAAACACTTCGTTACTGGCGTCTGAGCAAAAAAGTTGTAATTCAAAAAGGAAATTGCGGAAATTATTTTTGTTATCTATCATTACCAACTTTTCCACTTAACAGATATTTTCACATCAGTTTATTTACAAATGATACGAAATTCTTTGGTTTTTAGAATTGTGTCGCCCAACTGGTATAGCGGTTAACTTCGCTGAATGTCGTACCGAAGGGCCTCGTTCGAATCCCGGAGAAGGCTGGATGTTTGTAAATGTATAGAGACCATGAGACATAGGGGTACTCTAAATATGCGGCGAGCCGAAAGTCCTCTCGAGGCTGGAAGACACTCGGACCCGTCCCCCCCCGGGGTACTTTCCATCAAAAATTGGAAACGAAACTGAGCTAAATCGCGCTGTCACCTCTAATGTCCTCAAAGCTGTTGCCAACGACAGGCGCATCTTGTGCTTTTTGCCACGAGGAATTCCCTGGGCTTGGGCTAATTATAACTCACACAAGTGAGCAATAGTCAACAACAACAAGGACTTGTGTTTCCGTACGACAAAAAAAAAAAAAAAAAAGAAAAAGAACATTTGGCATTTGCTTTATTTTACGGGAGGTGCATCATATCATGTATTCTCTCATCACCATGGAAATTTTATATAATAAATTACTTCAAATCTTAATTAATATGAAAAAATGCAAAGGAAACTTAATTTTTCATATAGGCATTTAAATTTTGATATAGGATGCTTTTATAAGCTTCCTTATAAAAATTTAAGGATATGTGCTTTTATAAGGTTTATTTTTAATGTATACTATGGTTTTCTAGCATTTAGTGATATACATTTTCAGTATGTACTTGATGACTTCCAAAAAAAGGCTTAAAGAAATACTGAAAACTTTCATTTTTGACTTAGGTTAGTTAGATCTGAATTAATTATTTCTTTCTCTATCACTTTGTTTTTATACTGCATTTTTGCGGTTTGCCCTTTTTATTATCTATTTCACAAATTTCTGTTTAATCTAGCAAATCATAAGGAACATTTACTCCAACTATTTTTATTAGTTATATTATATCGTGGTACTGTGCAAAAGTCATGTATCTGCAAAATCCTCTTTTTTTAATGATTTTTTTAAATGAGTTTAAAATGCTTGGTGAATATTTTGTTTTGCGATACATTATTCCATACATTAATTTCATACAATATGCATTTTCTTTCTTAATATATTTTAAGGTATAGAAAAACAGCATCTAAAACGCATGTAAATCTAAATAAAATAAAGGAATGATCTCTGGGAGGGGGTTAATGCTTCAGCAATGGTTGTTCAGAATAATACCAACCTGTACCATCTTCTCATAGTTCCCTGTTCAATAGCACTAGGAATTATAGCACTAAGGACATGAGATGTGAAGATTGGTATCATTTTATTTCGTTTCTCCATTATCAAAAGGTTTCTAGTCAATAAAAAAATTAATTTCAAATATATGTTGCAAGCTAATATATAGAATTCAAAGTGCAATTTCTATAGCCAAAGCAGTAAACTTATAAATTTATCTTTTATCAAGGTACAGCATGTGATTCAAAATTATAATTCATGGGAAATCAGCAAGAAAATTTGGTTTCACAAAATTGCAAGTAGACCTCGGAAGATTATTTTTGTCTTCGTGAGAATGGCCAAATCACTCATGTAAATGAAACTGAGGATAAATGATTTGATAATGTACCATATGATTCTGAAATAGCATTAGCATTAAATCAGGCATGGTAGTCTTGTGAAACCTTCCGTAAATCTAAACGCCATCAGATAAAGAAATAGTTATCATTATTTTACATATGAAAAGATTCAAAATTTACGAAACCTCTAAAAATAATCCACACGTTAAGGCCAAATATTGCATTCAATTCCAACAACACCAAGTTCAAGACTAACTGCTAAACACATACCACAAATGACACGTGATTGGAAAATCTGAGCTAGCACGTAAGACTTGGAGCTGGTGACAAAGATGAATGTTCGTTACGATAAAACAAAAATGAAATTTTGCAAAGGGAGGGAATCTACATCACAGAAATTTTAGAAAATTATGGCGCAATCAATGCAACTGAATGTTCGATTTCGATTTTCTCTCTTTACAATACCAATTTCTTAACGATGGGTCTCAAAATACTGAAGACAGATTTGGTTAAATGGGCAATGAATGCAGAAGAATGGTATTAAAACAATGCAGGATGTTAAATCTTAAAACGCTCCACTGCAAATATTCATTCTAAAATGTTCTTTGTGAACGAACAAGAAAGAATTCTCTAAAAAGGCAAACAAATGTTATCATGCAAAGTCAACACTTAGCTTCATTTTAACTAAATTACTAAACTAGATCGAGTTTCATTGAAGATTGAAAATGTGTTCAGACATTAATGATTACTCTTCTCTTCTAGTCATAAACGAAAACAGCTAAATTTATCACTAATAAACCAAAGTAAAGTAATTTATTTAATATCAAAGCATTTCTCACCTGAAGCATTGTGAACACTGGAAAGGGTTCAGTGTTAAACATGAGCAAGTGATGAATGTCTGAAAGTGGTTAATGCAGCTCGTGAAAAGGCTTATATGGCCATCAGGAGCTACTGCAATGCGTCATGTTAATCTGAGCATTTAAAATAATATGCTATGACGAAATCCGTTGCTTGTCGGGTTGGGAGGATCCTAAAGATTAAGCTGGACAGCTCGACGACAGGAAGATTTCTTTCCATTGGGTAAAGGATTATATCCCATAAACCAGGGGGAGGAACTTAGAATATTATTTGTATCGAATCAGACTTCTCTCATGCCTTATGTCAAATATTTTTGCCAAATCTGCAACATAATTATTATTTTCAAAGGGTTATATGGTGATTGGTTATTCATGTGCAAAAAGAGCCTATGCTAGAGAATAATGCTTTAAATAATGCTAAATTAAAACTAAATTGACCATTTATGAATTGATTAGAGAAATAACCGTATTGAAAGAGGTTCGGAAGAAACAAACAAAATGAATGTCACTAATTTACTAATCTACTCTGGTTCTCTTTCCGTAACTCAAATTTCTCCTTTAGTCTTTTTTTCCTCCTTCTAGGTTGTCCATAAGGAAAACCGCAGATTTCTGTTTCGCATAGATTTTATAATAACTTTATGCTAAAATTAAATTTATTTTTAAGCGCGAATCTAAAAAAAAATTCTTTTAAATATTTTCTTTGTGTACGTGAGACCTTTTGGGGGGGGGCGAGTCTGTGGGATCCACCAGCCACCGAGCGGTAGAGTAGCTGATAATTTAAAGTCGACCTGTGTGCAAACCCCGGGGAACGGGCTAGCTGCATTCTTGGGTTTCGAAGTCTTCTGTACATGCAACGTGAATATGAACAGTTTTTCTTTAAAATTTTCTTCGCGAAGGCATCCTTTCTTATAGGCAGATAGCCTCCAAGTTTCTTCGCTTTAATCAACTAGCCTAACCTATGTCTACTGTTGTTTACCTTTTTATAAGAGCCGTGTCTTCATCGGTATACTGGTTATCGATGCTAACCATATCATTAGCCCTTGGTTAGGTTTCGGATAAAGCTTGTATTGACAGTTTATAAGTGCTTAGTGGGGGAAATGGAGACACTTACTATCCTGGCGAGCCAAAAGTTTCCTCGAAAGACTTGATGGTAGGGGGATAAGGATGCAAGATCTTGGACTACTTCCCCGGGGTACTGTGGACCAAAACTGAGCTGGAGATTGCTCTTGCTCAAGGGTGAAATTTGGCCGCTCGGTCTGAGGCACCCTGGGCAATGTTTTCGATGATGAGACTGCTAAGTGACTAACAGGTATTGGCGATTACCGAGAAATCCATTAACTTGCAAGTGTCTGGCCATTTTAACAATAAAAACAACTGCGTTTCTATAAAAGCAAACTCGTCCTGTTATTGATGTCACATAATAAATCGTTTATGAAAGCAATAATCATGGCAAAATAATAACGAAGTACAAAACCTTGCACTTATTAACACTTATTCACTTCAGGTTTTAAGTATATATTACGTATACTGATTCGTATTGCAAACATCCATATTTCATTTGAAATCTCATAGATGTATATATTACCATAACAAAAGATAGAAAGTTAATTTCCTTCAAAACTAATACGAAAATCTTAACATTTTCCAAAACTTCTTTTCAGGTAGGACATAGATAAAATTTCTCATATTTTGTCGTTCGAAAAATATTGCAAATTTCTTTATAATTTAAGATAAGTACTGAAACTGTAAGTATTTTTTTAAAATTAGTTTTTTTATTTTTTTGGCTCGATGACTTCTTCGAGTTTGTTAAAAACCATCTAGCCTTAAATAAAAATCTTTCAGATACGAATAGAAGTCTCTGATTGAAATTCATATAATTAAATACATCTTGAATGTGAATTGTAAACGTTGATTAAATACACTCTGAAACATTTTGGAATCTCATTCCCTGTACTTGTCTAGAAGGAAAATTTTAAATTCGGAGACCAGTGGAAAGGAAAGAATTCTTTTACCCATTCATATACTGAGAATTAAAAACCCCAAGCAAACTTACACAAATGCTGAACGTCAAAAAATGTGTGTATGTTGGAAGAACATGTTACTTGTGCACATAATATCGACCTGTGCCAAGTATACATCTTAGATTTCATAATTTTGGATACGTAGGCTATAATTTGCATTTTTTCACAACCTTTGAAGCCGTGCTCTTGCTAAAGGAAAGAAAAATAGAAATGTCAATGAAGCTTAGTAACTAGACAACAGATTTCCCATGTGGAGCAGCTGACTTGGTTGCCAAGAAGACAAAAAGTCTCTTGGAATAATAAGAAAGCCTTCATAGATAAAACTTAAACCAATAAGTAGAAAAACTATCTGATATGATTGGATATGATTTCTGTATATACGCATAACTGTAATGTTCGTGAAATCGAGTAAATGTTTATGACTCTAAAAATCCCTTCCAATCTCCTCTGTTTCTATTAGAAGGTAAGTGTTCAATTCAGAAAATAATACTTTAATTGGAAAGGTAACGTTCTGAAAATAATGTTGATGCATTATTCTATAATTTTACACTAAACGAGTGGGCGGTATAAAAGAAACACAAACAATTTTATTAACGGTTATAACTAATTAATTGCTATTACTTGCTCTGACCTGTTGCTTTAGCCCAAGGTTTCTTAAACTGTGGGTCGCGAACCCTAAGGGGGTCGCGGAACCAGCAGCAGAGAGTCGCCAAAAATTTTAGTAGTTTTGATATTTCTTAAACTTATTTTAATAACTTTACAAATAATTTTATAACAAATATTTTTATAACTTATTTTAATAACAAACAAATATTTTTACACAATACAGAGAAACGACAATACAGAGAAAGTAAAAAACGTTTCTACGCATCCTTTTTATAATATTAGCATTCATATTCCTTGTTTTGCACGTGACGCTGTCATTTCGTCTGTTACTTATTTAAAATTTTCATATTTTTCTATGTCTTAAAATTCGAAATTAAAGTTAATGACCTAAAACTGCAATAGTATATTACACTACAAGTGAAAAAATTGACAGTTTCACTGACACGTGTATCGGATTGCGCAATACTTATGGGGTCCCACAAAATATTTGTAAATATTATGGGGTCCTGGGGGTTCCGAAAAACTCTCAGTGATAAAAAGGAATCACGACTAAAAAACGTTTAAGAAACCCTGCTTTAGCCGAATCCAGTGGCTAAGTAAAAATTTTCTTTGCTCTTCTTCACGTCAAAAACGTACTTGCCGAAGCGAATGCAAATAATCCTAACAATTGCTCACCCTTCCTTTTTCTGTCTAGTTCTTTTGGCGAACTGCAAAAGATGTCTCCTTTTGTAATAAGTAAGGACATTCATTTTTCTATTGGTCAGCCAAGAAATATAAAGCGCCTCCGTTCTGGAGACTTGCTCATTGAATACAACTTCGGCGACCCAGTGTGCTCTTTTACTTCGAATAAGCAATCTTGGGCAAACTCCTGTTACTGTAACAACACAGAAAATACTGAATTATTGTCAAAGTGTCATCTCAGAAGTCGACCTTCTATTCGTTTCTGTAGAAAAGATCGCATCCGATTAAATCCGTATTAAAATGCGTAAGAAAGGCCAGTTGATCGATAAGAAATACCTGACCCCCGAGCTATAACTCGCATGATTTTCTAAAAAAATATAAAGGCTAGATATTTTAATTCCAAACCCTATGCGATGCTTCCAATACCAGGTTCGACAGTTCGTAGCAATGTCACATGTTTTCGATGATCAAAGATCGGCCACGATTATGGTAGTTTTATTGCTGCGCCTTGTGTATAAATTGCAAAGGCAAGTCATCCAAAAGCCAACAATCTGCAAATAACAATAAAAATGATAAGGTTCTTACTTAAACAATACTAAAAAAAAGGATAAGGTGATTCAAAATAAACCCAAAGTAAACACCGAAAAGATGATTACCAGAAATAGAAATCATAGTAATATTTCATTGGAAAAAAATCTATTCAGAATCTCTAGAGTCAGACAAACCAGAAATAGAACAAGGTATAGAAATCCCTAAGCATCTTCTTCTCCATAAAACCGAAAAACAATCAAGCATTCTACGCTTAGATAGTTGACCTGTCGCGGTTTCCAGCAAACGTTATCGTCTTATCGTTAACATCTTATCTTTAAAGTATTATCATTAACATTAAATATGGGATTAATAACCATCATACTGAATGTTTGGCAATACAAGAGGCTATGCTACGATTAGCGACGCTGCTTCCAGACAGCTGAAATGGAGTTACAGTTCTGCTTCACAATGTATTCGTTCGAAACTCACTAATTAGCCGATATTAATTTACAAGTGCACTTCACCAATGCGTATGACATACAACATACGCGTGATTATTTTCTCTTCCCGTTGGTAGATGATTTGAATATTTGAGTGGAATGTTTCTGCATTTTGATGGCAAAAATGCGGAGCGTCAAAAATACGAAGTACTTCAATGGCTTCTGGTCGAGAAAGGTTATCAAAGACTGTCAACTTGTAAGATATATTTTAATTTTATAACAGTTATTTTAACTTAGTTCACCTTTCCTGTCTTTCCTAGCTTCAGCTTACAACTCTCTACCAGAATGAGGTTTTAGAATCGCGTTAAATGCAAATGAGAAGGAGAATAGTATTTAAGTCAAGTTCAACTGACTTCGAGAGAGAATTAGGATTCCTGAGTAGCTCGCATTTGCCTTTGGTCTACCTCTCTTTAAGCCGTTATTACGCTCGTCTGTATTACGTGCCTTTTGATATTTCCCCGGCTAATTTAATATTGCGAGCCGACTAGTTTAGAATTGCGTTAGCTTTGGTTAAATCTCTTTAGTTAGTTCTTATTTCTTACATTTTGAGTTTAATCCCAAGGGGTGCTCTGAGATAGGAGCCAATTGTTAATCTTAAGTGAAATAAAGAGTAATTAATCCTTCTTGAGTTACGTTTCTATTCTTGGGCTTATGCAATTATTCGCTTAGCAGTTCACTAGGTACCTCG